AGCTGGATGATCCTGAAGTTTGTAAAACCATATATATTTCTTGAGGCTTAGCAGCATTTAGCCAGAAGCAGGAGCTCATTTTATTTAAAAAGGCGTTATCTTGGCATTACAGAAATAGACTGGTCTCTGATTGGCATTACATTAATCAGCCTCACTACCACCATTATAAGAAAACTCATCTCTATAGCTGTATAGATAATGGCTACAGATATATAGAATATGGGTCCAGCAGAGCGTGATCAGGGACTACTGAAACAGCTAATTTTCTGAGAGCAGTAGAACTATATCTGTATTTATTCATCCTACTTAGCTCTGTGCCCTGCTCCTCAGAAAAGTGGCCTTTGCCATATCCCGACATGACAGGTATATTGCAAGATCTGCTTGTTGGTGACACAGTGTTGCACATAACACCAGGTGCAGAACAAGAGATGATATCGGGCAGTTGCTTAGTTATCTTTGCTTGCTCAAAGTCTGTAAAGTAACAATGAGGAAGCTAATTAATTGGAGCAAATTAGTGCAGGTATCCGAACAAAGAAAAAAAAAAGGCACAAAATGAAACACAATGACTTTGGATGCGACCATATACTTTTCTACCTAGTCTTGATAATTCATATTGAGTTACACATTTGACAGCATGGGAGGAATTCAGTTTGGTGTGAAGGCATTTACATTTAGGCATTCACATGCAAATGCCTAAACTCTATTTTTAGTAAGTGAATGCTAAGGAGCTCCTTAGGAAGAGCTCATTTGGATGCCTTCCTGGTATTCAGATGTCTAAACATAGACACCTCATGTTGTTTGGGTGCTGTGGAGCCCCCAGCCCAGCTCCTTGCTCACGCTCCGGGGACGGTCCTGGACCCCTCTGGTACTGGCCAGTCTTGGGCAGACATCTGGGGGACCTACAGGCACCTCATAGGGCCCTGAGAACTATCTGTGGGCAGCTGATAACTGTCCTTAATGGCCTTTCTGAAATTATTTTGACTATCTTGTGTTCAAGAAATGATTGGATGTGGCACTTGGTGCCATGGTCTAGTTGGCAAGGTGATGTTCTGTCAAAGGTTGGACTTGATGATCTCAGAGGTCTTTTTCAACCTAATTGATTCTGTGATTCTGTGATCTAAAATAATTTTCTGTATCTGTTTCCATGAACACATGAATTGTTTCCATGATTTGTGCTTAAATGTGCATACAAATAATGCTTTTGAAGGTAGATGGTCTCTGTCAGCTGAAGTCCCAGTTATGTAGATAAGGTCATTTACAGTATCTTTATGACATCCATGAACATTTTCTTTGTTCCACAAAAAATTCCAAAAACAAAGTCCAAAGAAATCTGACTTGGCACACTTTTATTTTTTTATTTCTGAGTGCATATGTTTATAAATAAGCTTTCCGCATGTATCTCCATTAAGGTTTTAGTTCAGATCAGGAACACATTTCTGAAGCCAAATCTCCCAGTTTTTCCCAAATACCATGCCTTGCTTTTGCTCTTGATCTATGCTCATGAAAGTGTATGTTTCAGAATGAGTAGACTGAGACTGTAGACATGATGAGAGATTAAAAATTCAGCATTTGGAGAAACATTTAACTGTTGTTTTTCAAAAGCTATGGTGAAACAAGGAACTAAGAAAGTAGTAAGCAGGAAGACCTTCCACAGTAACAAGAATCTTCAGAACAAAATACAGGTTTAGCTAAGTGTTACTGTACAGGGAATTAGCAGCATGGACAATAGAGAATAAAGCAAACATCCAGACAAATATACTGTAGAAATCATGAAATATTAATGAATAAATAATGCATATCACTTGGTAGATTTTTGGCAGAATTATGAAATACATGGTTGATGGAATAGGATGTAAGCACAAAACTTTGATTATAATATGGCATTTGAAACATTTTAAGATGCTCTTACATCCATTGGTTTGGACATACTCAGGGTACCATAGTTCATCTACCTGTAATATCACACTGAGACAGCTGAGATGGTATTTCCACTACCCTGTCCTTTGACACTTGATTTCACATTTGGGAAAATGAGGGGGCGTGTGTTAGTTTTACCAAGAATAACAGTATTTTTCCTTGGGAATGGGACAACAACCTCTTATTTTAAAAACTGACTAAAGAGGTCTCACTTTCAAAGCTGCAGAACCCACTGTTTAAGCATCACGGAAGGTCAACAAGTGCTAGAAAGAATTATTAATTAATTTCAGTTCCAAATGAGGAGCATAGCAGGGAAACATTTTGAGAAACCACGTAGCCTGTCTTCTTGACTAAGTTTCTGGAGAGAGACTTGGGAAATTGAAAAAGAGCAGCAGATTGAGCCAAAATCTGTTGTTTGTTATGTGGGGATCGTTATGTGACTTGACCTCAAAAAATCCAGACAATAATCAATTTTGTAGTTCATGGGAGGAGCCCACAGAGGAGAAACACAAATACCTAAGGTAATGCACTAAGAAGCCTCATGATACTGTCTAGAAACACTGAAGGATAGACATATTGGAAAAATGCAGAAGAGCGCATCTGATGAATCATACACTGCAGCACAGATATTCTGTGGGAGAAAGGAAAGACAGCAATGCTGAAAAAGATCTAAGGAGTACACACAGCAAGAAGGATCAGAACTGGGATTGTGGTATTCAGTAACAACAAAAAATAAACCCAAACTAACAGCCAGTGCAATCTGCAGATCTTTTTTAGGTGCCCCACAGTGTGCAGTCTGTGATACAGAGGAGCAGGGAGGCTGCAGGGCCCCACTTGGATTAATCAAGTCAACCTGGGAGATGGCCAAGGGTTGGATGGCACTTTCTGACTGTATATTCTTGAAAACACACTCCAAACACCCCCATCTAGCTACCTTCATGCCAGGATGAATTGGAAGGAGTTCAGACAAAAGCAAGACAAATGACAAAAAGCTGGAGGGAATGACTTCAAAGGAAAGATTAAATGAGCTAAAATATGCATAGCATGGCTAAGGAACCACTGTAGGTCAGGAGACCGGTAATACAGTAACTACTAGCCATTCCTAGGTAGAGGTGGAAATGAAGAGGTCTATCATTGACAGTAGATAGGGAGGAGGAAGAATTTGTCATATTATTAATAATTTTTTCCTTCAATTTCTTCTTGGTACATGGTAGCTTTACCATGTCATCATAGACTGCCAGCAGCAGGAAAGACACAACCACTGAGAAAAAGCCCTCTCCCTTAGTAGTGCACTCTGGATTCTGTTTTATAATTCATTTGATTGCCTCCTCTCCTTTCTTACTGCTCTAGGCCACGCTCATCATTACACAGGGCTAAGGAACCAGTTCTCTCTGAAACCAAGAACATTTCAACAAGGCATGTTCAAAATAATTTATGAACATTTCCACTACTGCTACCAAATTGCTCCTTCCTCTATGCCTTATTATTGCAGGACCAAACAGCCATGAAATACCTCAGGCTCATATAACTTCAATGAAATATTAAATAATGTCACAATTTTTGAGCATGAGAATTCCTCCTCCCATCTGTTTTTTTGTTGTCGTTATTTTTGGTTTTCTTTGTTTGGGTTTTTTTTGTTCAGGGCACATGCAGAGCATCTGAAAACAGACATCTCCCAGTCTAACCTCTCAGAAGGAATACGCCTTATCCTGGCATCCACCTTGTTTAGATAGATCATAGCTAGTCAGGAAGGGCAGAGATTCCAACCGTGCCTGTGAGCAGCATAGAATTCGTGCCTAGGACAGTTCTTATTATATTATTCTCCCCTACTTCAAATGCTAATTTTTCAACAACCACCTTTGTCCTGCTTTCCTTCTGTTAGATTCTTCATTCATTACTAATGATGGTAAGCTTTTCCCAATAAGCATTTTTTTCTTGTAAATCTTTTGAGGGTATCACTCCTGCTTTACGTTTTCTTCCTTCTCATCCTTTACTCGCTGGTGTCGTTTATACCACTCATTTCATGTTAACATCAGAAGGTCAGTACCTAGACTGTCTATAATCATACAAGTGAATGTTTAGGACTGAGGAAACTTTTCTTGGATCATGGAAGCCTGATATTCTTTCAGGCAGTACCACTAACCCCTACTGACATTAAAGAGAAAGAGTAATTTTGCTATCAAGTCTTTTAAAAGTGTGAGTTAAGAGCATCTCATCCTTTACATTCAGCAGCCATTCCACCAAGAACTGGAAGAAATGAAAGAAATATCACTGAATTACAGCTGTGCAAAGCTTGCATACTGGAATTTACTTTGTCTGCTCTATGCTCCACTCTTTATATCATGGAATAGCTCCCGACTCTACCATTTGCTTTCTTTTTCAGGTCATAAACTCATTTCCATTCATAATGCAAAAAAGGAGTAACACAAACCAGGATGTGAAAAACTACATTTTAAACCAAAATAAGCCTGTGGAACTTATGACAGGTTGAAAATGTTTAAACCGAACAGCTTTCACTGGAGTTAACAGCTTGAGTGGTATGAGAAAAAATTCATGGGAATCTATGGATTTTGATGAATTTCCCTGTATAAAATTGGTTTTGAGTAAGCTCTTGTGAGAGTGGAATGTTGTATTTTGGCAGAATAAAGAACCTCTGTGTGATATGTACTTCTATGCAACAACATATATAATATAAACAAAATTATATTTCACATTGTGATATTTTATATTGTCAAAAATGGGAATTTCTGGGGGGGGTTATTGTATTTAGAAGTGAAAATAGACAGAATTCCTTTTCTTTTGTAGGATCTGCTAAAGCTTTTTTTTTTTTTTCCATTCTAGTTGCTTTCTTGGTAAGCAAGCAATCAAATTTTAAAAGGATAATCTTTTCCCAAACTTTGGCTATAGTTAACAATGCTACTTACAGACAGCAGTTTGAAAAGTTACAGTATAATTGATGCAGCATGAAGTGAATCAAGAGGGCAAAGCTGATTTGCAGATATTACCATAATCCACTCCTCATATTCCAGAGAAGTTCACATTTTTTCCCAGCATGCAACTTTCTTACAGAAAAATACTTCTACCTTCATAGCACAGTCCTTCCTTGGATGCACAAATGACAGCTTTTACATCCTGAAAGACGCTCCGTAGTCTTCCCTGCTGTCATACACTGGGCATCTGGAGGAGAAAAAGACAAATGCCCAAGTTTTGGGGTTTTTTTGCACAGAAAGCAGTCAGCCAAGAGCAGCCTCCTCATGCAGCTGTTTCTACGTACATACAGAGCCAAAGGAATGAATAAACCTTTTAGCTTCCTAATCACATGTAAACACGCTCAAATCAGTTCTGCATTAGATTACCGATTCTCATTTATTTTACTGCCTGGAAACATTTGAGAGTGGCTCAGAGTAGATTTTTTTTTTAAAGTTTATTTAATTGTTTGAATAAACAACATAAAAAGAAAAGAGCAAATGAGTTTGTTCTCTGAGGGGATAAATGCACTACTAGCTTTCCAGTGGGGCACTTTGTTTTCTCTCTGCAGCACATACACTTGCGCAATTACAAAATTGCAGAATAAAGCCAAAGGCTTAAAAACCACCTTATCTGGGCTCACAATTAGGCTTTCAGGTGCCCTTTATTAACACACTTGTTTTCCAAATCTGGCCATGCACTTGTGAGATGTGAACCAGTTTTGAAAAACCCCATTTGCCTGTGCACCACCCAGATGTAAGTCATCACATCTGTGATATCTCACACTCAAAACCAACACTGCAAGAGTTTATTCTTCTGGTTCAAATAGCCTCTGCCTTCAACATGGGCACTGGTGTGTGAAGAAGAAGGGACAGAGGGATATGAAAAAGAAGTCAAAGCAGAAAAATACTTAATCAGAGTGTGGCGGGGTTCCTCCCTCAGTATCTCTGCCAGATTCCTACCTGAAGATTACACATCCAGTCAGAAAGCTCGGCACCACTTCCTCATATCTCCAGTTGTACTCACATGGCATGTAGGTACTGCAGTCATATTTGGCTATTTACCAGCTAGACACATCAGAGGAGATCCTTTAGGATCTCCTTCCTGACAGCTGTTTTTCAGAAATAGAACCAATGTTAATAATAGAAACAAGTAGATGCAGCAGTTGCTCAGCACATCGGAAATGAGGCCACTTGCATTTAAGAGCTTATAAATGGATTTAGTTTCTAATTTCAGTACCTACTTTTGGGGGAAAAAGTCTAATTCATGATACGGTTTTAATTTTTAACCTCTGTGTAGATGTGCAGATCTTTAATTTTCGGTTCTGTGTATATACTCTATAATCTCTCTCTATATAAATCAGTCAAATGTCTTCCTGTATATAAATTTAGTATTCCCTGATCAACGTACATGAAAGACCTACCCCACATGCCAGTGCAGCCTCCTACATTTCCCTGTTCTTTTATTCAACAGTGTTGGGTTTTTACTTTTTTTATGCAGTCATACTCCTTTGACAGTACATAACTGTCATGGTTCTGTCTCACAGGTTTCTATACAGCAGAGACCAGCTTTAAAACTGTTTTGACAGGTTAAAAGCTGGGATTTTTCCAGGGACAGGATGGAGAGAAGCAGGAATGTGAGAAGTGAAAAAGAATATTCCTTGACACCTCCTAATCTCCTCAGCGCAGATGGCACTGTCGTTTTCAAGTAGCTTCTGCGCACAACAGCCACTGAAAGAGTGAAAGTTGGAATGCTGAAAATAGTCTTCCTGGGAGATAAATGCATATCTGCATGTACATCTATCCAATATGCACAACTGCGAACGCATGAGCAGACAAATGAGCAAAGTTTACCTTCCCTCTTCTTCCTCCCCCTGTCCATTCACTAAAATTAATTGTTCCCCAAGATGCTGTAGGCCACATTGTTAATTATTGTCTCTCTCTTTTGCACCTGAGGCATCACACTGGTTTAGGAAACAGCCTGCAAACAGATGGAGAGCTGCTGGAGATGAATCTGCAGGTATGTGAAAAAAAATGGATACAGACTTTATGATACTGCAGGCTCAGATGGTCTATTAATTTTCAATAATATTCTGGAAAGGAAGGAAGTCTTTACATGTTTTTAGGCTTAATTTGTTTTCAAAAAAGGAGTTACAAGAGCCAATTACTTTTATGATTTCATCACAATCATTTATGCTCAAGGCATATTTATGGGAAAATATTCCAATCATCCCTGCACCAGCTTTGTTGTTTCTTAGATAACCCTACCCACCGGCAGCCAGCTGTACGTGCACTACGCCTGACGGTACCAAAGCTGGGTGTCTTGCAGACCAGACACAAATGCCAGCTTGAACTGGATGCTGCATGCAGCCTCTTGCCTGCTGCTTTAATGCCACTGGCTCATCCCCAACATCTACCCCTGCAATCTACTTCTGCCATCATATTGTCACAGAAAGCCACAGCAGCCTGAGGGAAAGCCATCCCTTATGTACCCAGTCTGCCTCTATCCCACTTGCATGAAGCAATGTCGTGATGCAATCCCAACAAAAATGTCCCACTCTTTGATACAGCCTGGAAATTAACAAAAAGTCACTGCAGTTGTTGACACCAACTAGTTTTTCATCTTCAGAGGCTGAGGATCAAAGGTAGTACAGCCATAACAACGAGGCAGATATGTCTCTAATGGTGCTCAAAGCTGTCCTGTCCTACAGAGGAGGGCTCTGCAAAAACAAAGCACAGTTATCCAGACCTACCTAGTATGCCCCATGCCAGCTTCAAAAGAGGTAAAAGGGTTTGCCTTTCATAAGTACTTCAATGTGATCATTTTCTGTGTAAATGTACCCAAGAGACATATCTGAAAACCATAAGCTCTTCTAATAGAGCCATCTTACCCTCTTCTAAGGGAAAACTATTGCTTCACATAAGGAACAGTTGCAATTTCTAAATGGGGAAAAAAGCCTTTCAGACTTGGCTGGAAGTTCAGCTCTGCACATTAGCCAAATTACTTTAGAAAGGCAATGGAAAAGTTATTAATAGATTTATCAGATGACTATCCAAAGGAATCCAGATATTTTAGCCAAGAAGCAAGAAAAAGTGAGTTAATTATACCATGACCAGATTCCTTATCCATACAGGAGTGAGGAGCAGAAGGTGATATTTACAATACAATGGCACCCTTTCTTTTCTAGTGTTGGTATTGTGCATATTTTGTGGAGCAGAGTCTACTTGGTAAAGATTGGTACACAAGTTGTCATGTTATACACTATTTGTCATGCTGTTATATGAGTGTGTAAAGGAACTCTGGAACTTAAGCACAGTGTAATTTCCTCCAGTACCCAAATTCTGCATTTTGAATCCAGCAGAGATTTTCATACTGCTATCACTTTATTAAATGCTTGATACAGAAACAACTAAATGCATAATGCATTGTATATGCTACCATACATTTAGCTTAGATTACTGAATCTACTGTCTGTCACTCTTTTAAAAAGCTCATCAAATATAATAATTATGATACAAGAGTCAGCCTGTATCATTATCACCTGCACAGGTTAACAAACAGTATATTGTCGCATGACCTTGGGATTCCTAGTCAAGGATTTGAAATGAAGGATTCTTAATTTGCCTTTCCTCCTGTTCTGCAGATGGTGCAGAATGTGAAAATTTAAAGCCAATGGGGTTGGATACTTCTCCAGCTCTCTCTCTCTCTCTCTCTCACTACAATTGACTCTGCAGAAGCAGCATCAAGGCCTCAGGCACTCCATCTGCCCCATGGGTAGGAGGTGGAGATAAAGGTGGTTCATGGTGAACCAGCTTCCCCCTCGGTGCTGCAGAGGAGGAGGTGGGTAACTGGCCAGTAGTGGTGCTTAGCCAGAGCACTGCAGTGCTGCAAATAATATTAACATTTGATCCAAAAAGGGCGATCTATTTCAACAGTATTTTAGATTATTTTCTTTCTGCACTGAATCATTATTTTGGACAACAGTTCTTTGGAGAAATGCAACTGTCCTTAGTGAATTGTTTTTCCCAGTTGTCACTGTCATTGTACCAAAAATTTAGGGGGATTTATTTGACCTGTAGCAGAGGTGTAAGACTAAGACTTTAGCTCTTCTCCATTCCAACAGGAGTATTTCCTTTGGTAGAAGCAGTTCATTGGTAGGGGCTATTGACTACGGACAAGCAAAAAAGAAAGATGCCAGTGTTTGGATACCTATCAGATACTTTAAGGTTTATAGGCTGGGTTCAGAGCAAACTTGTCCAATGATGATGATATATCACAAACTGCTCCCTGGCTGTCATAGGCCCTAAGATGTTTTTTCCATTTCTGCTTTTTATGAGGGAAAGTGAGAGGAGCTCTATGAAATCAATTCACACTCTCAAAATGGTGCTTTAGTCATGGGTCACACAATTAGCCACATCTGCAAAGCAGTATATTTGCTGATTCCCAAATTCTCACCTCTAAGAACTTAGGCTAAACTTTAGTTTAAACACTTCGGTACATGGAAAAGGCATTGCCATTGCACACTGAAATGCCAGGTATTGCAATGAACATATGAGAAAAGGAAGGGTTTTTTCTCTGGAGACAAAAAGGTTGCAGGTGAAAGTTTTGGTCTGTTCTGTACTTCCTGTCTCACTCATATCCCCCCTTTCTATTCCAAGATCTTTCTATCCTTAAGAGGCACATGATATGTCTAGTGAGAAATACATTTCAGTCAGACTTTAATTTGTTAACTTTTAACTGACACTTGGTAGAAAAACCTTTTACATTCCCACAAAATAAGATTTTGCCTCTAGCATCAATTATCATTCATCTAGCTATTGAAGAAGCTGACAGATCTATATTCTCCTTGCTCTTCTTTTTCATGCATCTTGAAAGATATTTGCCTTTGTTTCACCTAGTGGCACCTCAACAATCTCCTCACTTCTCAAATATATTTGCTAACAAACCTTTCAGAATCATCGCCTTACTATTAAAAATCCATCAATGGCACCCATACAAGTGACCTGATTTAAAATTGTCTTACTGAGCTAGACAACCTCCCATAAGCTCCTTTTCAAACCTTAGTATTATGTTGCTAAGTAAGGTGACAATCTACCCAAGGACTACTTCTGTATGTATGGAAGGCCTGGTACAGTTACATGGATCATATAGGATAACCTTTTATACAAGCCTGCCAATGATTCCTGTGACCTTACTGACCTTGCTGTCCA